GTTAGAAATGCAAAATCTCACCCCAGACCTCGACTTCAAGTTTGCTGAGTTTGCTGATTTATTTGAGAATTTAATATTCTGTTATAAAGGTAGAGAAACTCTCAAGAAGTGATAATGTTTGATTATTGAAAGAGGCAACACTCAGAGACTCGATTAAGTTTAGGTAATAAAAGCTTATAAGAGGAGCCCTGGCTGGTTTGGCTCAGTGGATAGAACATCGGCTTGGGAACTGAAGGGTCGCAGGTTCGATTCTGGTCAAGGGCACATGCCCAGGTTGCAGGCTTGGTCCCCATTGAGGAGCATGCAGGAGGCAGCCGATCGGTGATTCTCATCACTGGTGTTTCTATCTCTCTCACCCCCTTCCTCTCTGAAATCAATAAAAATATTTAAAAAAAAAAAGAAAAAAGATTGTAACAAGAGAGCAAAATTCATAATATGTGTTAAAAAATAAGTGAGTTAGTAACCTGTAAGACAGGCCAAAATAGAAAACATGATGGAAAAAAAACAGATGTTTACTTGCAAATAGAAAGGGGTGAAAAGATCAAGTTATCATCATGCTATATCTGGACTAACAGCTATGTGTTCTCCATTTCAGCCACCCATGAAGTCACTCAGCATAGTTCTATCCTGGACTCAAAGGTGTTCTACCCAAGAAATGCAAATAAAGCCCATGGCTCAGCAGCAGGCAAACCGGCAACGCTATCTGTGCATCTAAGTGCACCTGTCCTCACTCTCTGCTTTGGAGCAAGCTGTTTCAATAGCGCAGGGCATCATTAGTCGGTGGAGACTTACTCACATAACAACGTTAGTCCTCATAACCACACTGTCATGGTTGGAAGGCTGAGGTGAAAAAGGAATGGGACATGTGAGTACCGTGTACCCAGGACTCAGGCAGTGGGTCCTTCCCAACTCATTAGCACTGTAGGTATACGAATTTACTCTATGGCTTTCTCTTGCTTCCGGCTGTGGGTTTTAAACTAAATTGATAAATCGTGTGACTCCAGCATTTTAATTTGGCTACTGAGCCTGTCTGCCATAACCTCGGATAGCTAGTAGCATCCTTGGAGGCTAACCATCGCATCAAGGTAACTGCCCACAAAACACCTACTGAATCACAAATCCACATTTTAAAAGATCCCCAGTTAATAGGCATAAACCTGATGTGCATATTAGGTTTAGGAAGCACTGAGCGAGACTCTTAGATAGAAAAAAGCTCCACAAGGACAGAACTTGGGATCTCAGAACTGTGCTCTGAGCACTATCCTGAATAAAAAGCCTTGTGTACCCGCTTACAACGCAGAGCTCCGGGTGAGGAAGAAAACGCCAATGAAACCATTTTCAACAACTAGCAGGTTGGGTTTACAGAAACACTGCTGCCCTGGGCGACTCTCCTCTGAACACAGCTCTGTAAACTCTATGCAGTTTGAGGAAACACTCTGAAAAGGACAGCACACTGCACTTCACCACTAACCCTGCACACGCCTTCCTGCTGAGAATTAGAAAAATATCCCTTTTCAGATACACTATGTTTCAAGAGCACCAATCCGAAGGGCATAAGGCTGCCAGAAACAGAGAAAGGGGTGTGACTTCCTTAAAAAAAGTTTCCGTGGCCTTAGAAAGATCAGCCAAGCACCGGCTTGAGGATAGCCTTAGAAGCATCCCTAATGGGCTGTCCACTTACCCCCCTACTGGCAGTTTCCAACTTGATCGGCTCTAATCATTTTATAAAGTTATCACTTTTGCATTTGTTCCTAACATATAGTAGGGACTCAGTAAATGTTCTGAATTAACGTAGAGAATGAAAAAGTGTCACCCTTTCTATCTTTGATTTATCTAAGACAATATTAAGTAATTCAATCTCTTGGTTTTGAGAAATTTCTGAGAATGAAGGCATAATTCCACGTCCCAGATTAGCGTGGTTCATAACACTCCTTCACTCCGTATCTCGAAGTTGGATTTTATGTTTTCTATTATTAATCTCATTATAGTTTTCCAGGACACTATGAAACACATTAACCTATCCATTAAGAAACAATTCAACCAATTCTAAAAGTCACCAGCAATTATGTATAAGGAATAGGCTACACAAGAAAGATCAGGTATGATTCAAATGATTTTCTAAGTCCAGATTGAAAATTAGATTTATGATCAATGGAAATATCTATCTAAAATATCTATTGGAGAATTTAAATAGGCACTGAGCTCATCATATACACCAAGATCTAAAATAAGAGGCTAAAAGGTGTTGAGAATTTTTACCTTCCTGAAGAATAAGATGAGAGTATCAGAAAAAGTCTGTAAAAGTTCTAAAGATCATCTCTCTAAGGAATATGCATCCTATTGCTTCTGAAAGAAGGAAAGTATTTAAATTTCAAAGGGAAAGGTTCTGGTTGGAAATCATAACTTCTCATTCTATAAATAATACTTTATAAAAAGAATAAAGAAACACACATATGAAATAGCTGAGTGTATTCCCTTCCAAATGACTGCCCGGGCCCCGTTCACTCCTTGCACCTGGTACAGCCAAGGACATTGAAAGTAGTCATCAGACACTTAGGCACAAGTTTGTACACTGTTACTTGGGATTAAATGCCATGTGTTTAAGACTCGCCTCTACAAGCTCACAGAGGAAAGATATAACCCAGTCCGTTTTTGTTCTCCTGCAGCTAACAGCAGGAGACTATACACACAAGCCTTCAATAAATACACACCGAATTTAGTTAAGTATTACTACTCTCTAAGGCAGTCTTAATTGCAAATTAATCTAAATACTGCCATCATGAACATCACCCAGTAGAAAAGTAGCTCTCAAAACTTCCAGGTGAAACCACGCTTGTATGTTAAACAATGGGAACAACAAGAAAAGAGTAACTGTCCTACTCAGTACAAAGGGCAAAGAAGGAATCCTCTGTTTGTAAAGTTAATCCACTCCAAAGAGCGCTGTTAACTGCCCGCTAACACAGGGCATTATCTCTTCGCTTCACAAATCTTTTGCTTGATCTGTGTTCTTGATGAAATGTGCTAAACTTAAATATGTGTCATCTATTTAATTCTTTCTTATATGAAATACACAGTATCTTTATTGTATAAAATTAAAAAGGCAAAATGCTTACTGGTATAAGCAATACTAGGGGGGGAAAATCATTTGAATTTCAAAATATCATATCCCAAAACTGGCTTGATCATATATGAACAGCCATATTGCAGAGATAAACCCCTTAAAGTTCATTAAACCTATGACTGTGAAGTTATATTCTGGGCAGCACAGAACCCAAATACATAGCCAGTGCCCCACGTGGTTGAGTGAACAGCATTCTTGATCAACTTTCATAAGCTGTGACGCCCGCCGCGAAAGTCAGTCACTGGTTTTTAACAAACTCCTTGAAGAGCTCGTTTCATTTATTCTCGCTTTGTTCAACCTGAAACAATTTAATCCTATTGCTTTCTTCCCAAGGGGCAGGACAATGATGTTCAAATGGAGCACTTGCAAAGGGGACATGAACTGCCAAATTCAGGAGCTCATTGAACAAGCCCGGAACAGGCTCGCTGATGAGCATGCCTGGGGTTGGAGGGTGACGGGGGGAACAGCAAAGGAAGGAGGCAAAGCACTGCAAACAAACTCAGCTTGCTCAGGACCTGGACCCACACCTCCAGCTTACACACAGCTGACCTTGACATGGCCCAGTCTGATCCAGAACTTTTTGCCTTACCTTAGTGAAATGAAAGTTTCCCGTCTCACACCTGTGGACAACTTCACACGTTAGAACTTTATTTCCAAACAGCGTTGCGTCATTAGAGCGAGATCAGATTTCTCTTTACTTTGTAAACTGCACACCTTACAGCCTTTTATCGGGGTTTCGTAAGAAGGAGGGGACAATAGACAGTGATCAGAGATTTGGAGGAGAAAATTCAATAAGAAACCATCTCAAATTCCAAACCTGTCATATATACAGTGTGTAAGACAGAAGCCCCTAGAAAGTGGTTTGAAATGACACATTCTGCCGTGGCCACCCTCCAGATTCCCCTGGGAGGGCATGCCAGGATCCTGGGACGGCGCTGGTGGCAAGGACACTCTGAAGCGGCACTCTGGGGGATTCTGACACTCAGCCCCTTACCCCTGTTGCCATTACCAGCTAATAATGTTTCACCACCCGCTGCAGATGCACTCTGCGCTATTCCTCCATACTAAATGCGAACTAAGTGAAGCCATTAGAACAGAGCATCCTAAGTCAGCTGGCATTTATCCAGTTTTCAGGAGGTAAAAATAAACCCATGAATGGCAAATCAACTTAACTTCCTTTCACAAAGTTTCATTTTAAAGCTACAGATCAAATTCTGAACGCAAAGCTATTTACAGTAATAGCTTTCCAATTAAAGTTGTTAAGCCCGCTAATATAGCGCCATGAATCAAACTTTCACTACCAAGTAGCAGTACAAAAAAAAAAAAAAATCCAACATTCCTCACAATCTACTTACCCTTAAGGGAGGGATAACTCAGATTTTTTTTTTTTTAAAGCTAGGAAATAAAGAGTATTATTTCAAGCTTACCATAAGGCTCCCTTTTGTGTGTTATACTTGATATCCTAGTGTTTAGATTCAGAAAATGTTATTATTTATGGGTAACTGTAGGTAAAATTAGTTATAGAAGTCACTCTATTTCAGACTAACACCCCTGGTTTTCAGTGCTCATCCTATTATATATTCACACTCTGGTCCATTGGAAAGTATCTCACAATCCCCAAACTTCTCCAACTTTAATAGTACTCCATACTGGCTTAGGCAACTCTAAAGCACATCAGGAACGATGATGGATATCTTCCATACTTTTAAAATCACCCACAACATATGTACATCAACAACCTTGAGTTCCTTCCAGTTGTCAAAAATCTGTTCTGCATAGTTAGGCCCAAATACTATGAAGAAAACTTAGGAGGAAAAAAACAAACAAACAAACAAACAAACAAAAAAACCCTTGCAAAACAAACAGAAAACATACTCACCTTAATCGGAGCACTACTAAACTTAATTTTCCTATTTGTGGGGATCTCTTCTTCTTCTGGCAGTCCGACGATTTCCGAGTACTCCATGTCAGGTTGATAGTAATTGTTTTCATCACTGTCCTCCTGCTCGTCCTGCTCAGTGCCTGTCTCTCGCCAGTCGGAATGATACCTGGATTTCACCCTATATACATTATAGTCACTGTGCATGTAAACGTGGGGGCTCTCAATATGACTTGAATCTTCAGGTACTTCCTTCCCATAGCTGGGTCCAGAAGCATCAGCAGAGATAAAATCACCACCTGCAAGCTCCTTCCTCCGTAGCATCGCTGCCTCGTTCCCAACCGAATTGGCTTTGGCACCTCCCAAGGGCTCACCCTGGGGGGAGAGGATGTCAGACCCTGGCACTGCCTTATTCTCAGCACAAGGTTCTCCGGGGACGTCTCTGTCAACCCCGCCGGGAGTCTCTTGGTTAGGAGTGGAGTCCTCGGCTTCCTTGCTCTGCTCTGCCTCTTCGCTAGGTGTCAAAGCTAGAGAGGTACTTTTCGGAACCACTTGTGGCACGGGGGACGCGTGACTCTTCTGAGCATCCTCCGCATCCTCGTCACCGTGTTTGCGCGGGGGCGTGCAAGAATCAGGCTCCTTAAGACGACTAAAGGTGTCAAGATTTGTGACTGTCACAGCTGGCAAATTCAGGGGATAATGCCCAGTCACTGAGTATTCATGCTCAGCCTTCTCAGAAAGGATGGAATGGGGGGAATCGGTGTTCTCAAACACTGCACTCAGCTGGCTCACAGTTGGGGAGACAGCCTCTGTCCGGGAGCTGAGGCTGTCCAGGGAGTCGGTACTGCCTCTGTTGGACTTCGAGCCCCCCCATTCATCCTGAGGCTCGTTCCCCCCAGCCTTCTCTTTCTTTGGGGAGTAACGGTTGTTTTGCCCCGAGTCGTGCACACTTCTCTCAAACAACTTGCGAGTCTCTGTGAACTTAGAATACGAAGGGCCATCGTGCATTGTGTCAAACCTACTAATTCGCTCTGAAACAGAGGACTCCAGCTTCACAACGGAGCCATCTGTTTTCTCCAGGAATTCTTTGGGCCTCATTCTTCTCTGAGGGGACGAAGGTCCACCTCTGCCCCTTGTTTTGGCAACGACTGCGGCGTTCTCACTGGGCTCCATACCCATCTGCATGAATAGGTTTTTAATTCTGTTGACATTGGAGCCATACTTCCTCCCCCTGCTCTGCTGGGAGCCCTCACCTTCTTTTGCTTTTTGTTCCCCATCGGACTTGGGTTTGTCAAAGGTACTTTTCAGTGCCTGGAACTCAGTCCTATAGGCATTCCTGTGAGGAGAGGCACTTCTGAGAGTGGTTCGCTCGCCTGAAGACTCGGTTTTCAACATTTTTATTTCAGGGTGAAAAGCCAATGTCCATAATGATCAGGGAAGGGAAGGAAAAAAAAAAAACCTCTCTTCTCTGATCACCAGTATGTGGTCAAGGAAAAGCACCTCTCAAAGAGCAGACCGTGTCAGCGATCCACGCAGCAGGTGCATTAGGAAATCATTCAGTCAGAGAGTCACACAGAACGGCTTTTTCAAAGCAAGCCTAGAGGTTCATCTGTAACAGAAAAGAATGAATTTCTGAATTCATTTACTTATTTGAATTTATTTTTACTCAAAAACTAACATACACTTTTCCTCTCCAAGTGGCTTCAAACAGAGGAAATTACTTATTGAAGCTGGACTTTGAAAAGCCAAGACTTTTAAAAGTTCTAACTCTGGTCCCTGGTAACAAAATGTGTCAAACACAATGTGGAGAGAGCGGCTACCATAATCACAACATGCACACATACGAGCCACACAAGCACTCTTGAAAAAGCAACACTTGAGCCCAAGTTTTGATTGCTTTTGTGAATCGCCTTCAAAGAAATCAGCAGTTTGTACCTCTTTAAGAAATCATCAAACTGCCCAGAAAAAAAAAAAAAAATGAACTTCACTTGGGACTCTTCACACCAGATAAAAGTTATTCTCTCTGTTTAAAAACCATTAAAAGTTTGGAAACTATGTTTACAAACTCCAAAGCATGTCTATGGAGGGTTACTCCCCTCTTTCTGGCCCAGGGTTCTCTCTGACAGCATCCCCAAAGCAACACCCGCGCCATATCAGACCAACCGAGCAGAACAAAGTTCTTAAATGGCAGTAAGTTTCCCTCTCCGTCCAGTGCTGGCAAATATTTGGAAGTTTCCTCAGAGTGGATATCATTAATTACGGAAAGGGATGTAGAATGTCATGGGAATAAAAGCATGAGAATGTGATGATCAGAAAGCAAATGTACCATGAAACCTCTAGTTAACAGCCCTGATTTGTTTATTCCTACTTGCCTCTAACTTTACTACAAGCTCAAAAGGCAACCTCCATGCAGGCTTGCTGGTCTCCTTGGAGCCCACAGCTGGATTTCATAGCACTAGGACAGCCATAAATACTCCCAAGATCTTCTGAGGGGCAGACCACGTCGTTCTGAAGATTTTTTATTTATTTTTTTATTTTTTGCATTTGGTTTTGGTTTGGGATTTTAATAGGAGGCCGGCCCAGCCTCAAGCACCATCAGCTGAGGCAGCACACACACACTTTCGCTTAAACCGTCGCCAAACTCGGGCTCCTGGCCCAGCACGCATGCATGCATGGCCCATGCAGACACACCAGAAAGGCTCATTTTAGGAGTGCGGTGCCTGGTTTGGGGAGGAAGGCATCATCGATCGCCTCTGGTCTCCTTCCACACCCGGACGTGGGCTTCAGCCTCACACACCCTCCCCTCCCCCGTCCCTCCCTCCCCCGCCTACTCCAGCCCGAGGGGGGCGGGGGCGGGGGCGGGGGCGCCGGGGCAGCCAGCCGGGGGGATTCAAACACCTGCCCTCGCCAAAGACAAACATAAATAACACCAACTTGAGAGGCTGGCCGATTCCCAGGGCCCCGGGGCAGGGCCGGGAGAGCAGGTGACGCCGCCGAGCGCCACGGCGGGAGGGAGGGCGGGCGCAGGCCGGCTCCGCGCCCCGCAGCACCTGGAGTCCCCGCACCTCGGCTGCGGCTGCCGGCGGCTGCCAGGCGGATCCCAGGGTGGCACGGGGAGAGCCGAGCTCCCTGCCCACATTTAAAAAAAAAAAAAAAAAAGGGAAAAATAAAAATGACGGGGTAATGATCCTATATCCCTTTGTGGGTTTTTTTTTTTTTTCTTTTTTCCCTCCCCATGTGCCAGGAAACAATAGATCGCACCGATAAATGCCTCCGATCGCCAACCTATGGGCTCGCAGCGCCGGCCCACCCCCACCCCCACCCCAGCCTCTGCAAGTCAGCCTTTGTGCGCGCCGGGGTTCCCCCGCTCCTGCCGCTCCCCCCGCCCCAACGCCTCGCCCCGCCAGCAGCCTCCCCCTTACCCGAGCGAGCGGAGCCGCCGCCGCCGCCGCCGGCAGCGGGGAGGGTCCGGCGGGCGGCCGCGCTCCCCCCTCCGCCTCCTCCGCCTCCTCCGCCTCCTCCTCCCGGCGCCCCCGCCCCGGTGCCCGCCGCCCGCTCCGCGCCGCCGCCCGCTCCGCGCCCTCCACCCGCTCCGCACGGCGCCGCGCGGGGGGCGGCGGGGGCGGCCGCTCCCCCTCGCGCCCGGCCCCCCACGCGCGCCCCGCGCCCCCCCCCCGGAGGCGCTGCCCAGCGCCGTGGCCCGGCCGCCCCGACGCGCTCCCCCCCCCCCCCCGGCCCGGACGGCCCCGCCGGGGGGCTGCGCCCACGTGCAGTGCCCGCGCCGGCCGTTGGGCCGCGGGGGAGTCGGGGTGCCACGGGCGGGGGGTGGAGGAGGTGGGGAAGCCCTGGGGTAACAGGTGCCTCACCTCGGCTGATGGGATTAACTCGAGGGCCGTGGAGAGAGGGAGCCCGGCAGCGAAATCCCGGGAGAGGGAGCGGGAGGGAGCCTCTGGCGGCGACCGAGGGCGCAGAGCCCGGCCCGCCGCGCGGCCGCCCCACCCCCGGCGGCGGTGGGCGAGGGCGCCGGGCCGGTTCGGCCTGCACCCCTGGGGCCTGGCCTGCGGGGCTGGGAGTGTGGCAGGAACAGGGTTCTGGGGTTCCCCCCGCAGCTGGAGCCCCAGGGAGTCTGCAGTTACCTCCGTGACCCCAGGGCAGCTAGACCCCCAGACCACTGGCCGGCTGGAAGGCCTCCACCTCCCTGGAGCCAGGTCCCAGGTGCCCTGAGCTCACCTGGGCCACTAATCGCCACCCACTTCCACCCACCTTGACCTTCGCCTTCACCCTCCTCTGCTCAGGAAAGGGAGGAGGTGGTCTCCGGACACTTGTCAGATTTGTTTTTTAGGTCTTCACTCCTTTATAATGAATGCTCAGTATCCCTTCCTACATCATCCCACCACCCTCCAATAATAATAATAATAATAATAATAATAATAATAATAATAATAATAATAATAAAATAGTGGAAGTGTTAGAGCCTTTCTGCAAACTATAAAACTGATCACGGCCATCCGTATAGACCTTTAAACCAATCTTCTGAAAAGACTTTATGGACTAGAAGTTCTTAAAAGATAATGTTTCGGGAAAGTAAAAGCACAATTCACAGAAATATTAAATCAAGATGTGTCAAAAATGTTATCTGACTCATTAACTAGGGAGGGAACCAGAAAAAAATATTGCAACACATTCAAATGGGAATGTGAGGAACAGGCCTTTATGGACAATCGGGGAAAGGCAAAACCGGTTAATAGGGTCTAAGATACTAAAATATATATAATGTTTTTGAACTATCTGTCCCACAGGCAGTAATCAGCCATTTCTAAGGAACAAAAGAATTCGCCTTATCTATAGATAAGAACTATTTACATGACCATAAATTTCTAAAGTTTATGGATGACAGCCTCCTCAAAGGCAGTCCAAGGCGCAGCCTACTGAAAAGCCACGCAATCCCTACATTCCTGCAGATAACATTCGGCATTCCACCAAAAGGACACCCGGTCGGTCGTCTTTTGCCGTTTGCAAATCTTAGACAAGTCTTTCCAACAGAATTGTTATCTGTATGTATTTTTCAGGTAGGAAAACGGAGGTCAGGTTTTATAACTTACCCTCAGCTTCATCAGCTGGTGTTTATGGCTGATGAGGAACTCCAGCAAATATGCCAAATCTACACTCTGGGAGTAAAATCTTTTCCTCTCAGAAAAGATTTTAAAAAGAGCTTTGTAGCTAATCTATGTATCTTTTATTTTGAACAGTGAAATTTTTTTCTTCAAGTCTCATCAGATTCTGGGTGCTTTCCTGAGAAATTAGCATTCTCTGTCTGCAAAGTAGATGTGACTTCTCTAAGTATAAACAGATATAACAGGCAATGTGAGGGGCTGTGGCTCTCGTCTCCACTTTTGGAAGGAACACTTGTGCTGTCTGGGTAATTTAATGGAAAAGCTCCTGTCATTTATTTGCAGTATGGAAACCATGATTTTTAGGAAAAATAACCTAAATAAATGCAGCAACCTAATCACTGAATTCTATCTATAAAAGAGAGGCCAGAGTTTGCAATACAATCAGTCTTTCACCTCTTTGCAAAAAAAAAAAAAAAAAAAAAAGACAATTCATACAGAAAAGCAGACTAAAGAATATGACTGCTTTGTGTTTCACTTTTTTTGAAATGTGAACCTTCTAGAAAAAGTCATACCAAAGAAATCAAGACAGAGTTTTAAAAATATAACGCTGATAATTTAAGATTCATGGACTGGCAAAAATCTACTTTCCACTTCTAACATTTATCTGAATGTTTTGAAAGCGCTACAAGGCCAGTAGTAATCCCATACGTGACACTATTTACCTTTAAATTAAATTTAAATACAAGTAAAGACAGGTTCTATTATAATTCCCATAAACTGTGTTTGAAGGACTCATTAGCTACAGGAGGCTAGTGGCTACCCTATTGGAACTGTGGATACAGAACATTTCCATCACAGAAATTTCTATTGGACTGTCCTGGACAGAATTTGCATTTCTATACATTAGAAGAGGTATAGTGACTTAGTATGAGTAACTGATAAAAATCTATACTAATAAAAGGGTAATATGCTAATTAGACTGGGTCGACCGGCCATCTTTCGACGACTGATTTCCTTCCTGACAAAGCCATGGTGGTGGGGGCCAAGGGAGAGGCAGTTAGTGGCAATCAGGATAGCAGAGGAGGGCAGTTGGGGGACATTAGGCAGGCAGGCAGGTGAGTGGTTAGGAGCCAGTAGTCCTTATTAAGATAGGGATGTCCCCCAAAGGGTCTCAGATTGGAGAGGGTGCAGGTTGGGCTGAGGGACTCCCCCATGCACAAATCTCATACACCGGGCCTTTAGTCAGTTCTGTAATATGTCATTAATGTATTTGAGATTTAA